CCTTACAGTCATATGCACATTCAAACTAAAATACATACACAGAACGCTGAGGAGAACCAGGGAAGTTGATTACTTGTCCATATCATGATGTATGCTGTTTATTGAGTGTGTGCACAGACCTTTAATGCCAGATCTCACTGCGGTCAGGAGCAAAGCCAAAGCCGTAAATGTAACACCCGATTTTCAGGGGAGATGGGAATATGGAAAAGAGTTTGGGAAATTCTCCTACAAAGATGGATTTGAATCTCTCCAGAGAACTAGAGTACTTTTTCTACAGCCTTCAGGCACTGGGATGTGGCACAAGGGCATTCCTTCATCCAGGTCAATTCAGTGCAGCCAAAACTGCTAAGCCCATCCCTTTCCTCTATGGGAGGAAACTCCCCCTTCTGTCACTGGGCTATACAAGAGAGGGGAGGGAAAGAGAAGAAAGAAAAAAAACACCCCCTTCTGTCCACCATTTTAGGGAAAGAAAGGAATACCTCAGCTGCTCTCCTATCTCACATCCAAATGGAAAAGGCAGAAACCAGCTTGTTTCCTCACTGCATTAGAGGTGAGAGGAAGCAGAATAGGAAGAGGGCAGGAAGCAGCCAAGAAAGGTAAGAAGAGATGTTAAACTTCCCCATGTCCTAATGCTGCTGCATTTGAATCAAAACTCTTATAAATCTACAACCCAGCTGTGGAAAAGAACTTTGGTAAAGCTGGGGTGGAGGGAAGGATGGCTTTCTCAGTAAAAGTACTTGTTTTGCTTTGTATTTGCATGCTTCATCCGAAGTGTTACACAACATGGAGTTTTATAGAGCTATACAAAAGCATGCACTTCACACAGGTCCAGGGAAAAATCCCAACCCCACTAAAATCTGTTTAAAACATAAAACCTCACCTGAGTCTAATAGGACCCTAGTGCAGACCGCTCAGTAGGTACCGCAAAAAGAACAACAACAAAGAAAAAGAAATCGTACATTAGAAAATATTCCTGGCTTAGATGTGACAAAACAGCTTTCCCAAGATGATTCTGCGTAACTCAATGCCCCAAATTCACTAACATTTGCCAGAATAGCAACGGCTGCTGCAGAATTCCACTGGCAAACACTGTATCTCACATTTTTCTCTTTCTCAATATGCTGTGATTTCCTGAGGAGTGGAGAAATAATCTATACTACAAAGAGGTGCAGTACTAACACTTTTTGAAGTAAATAATTTTACAGCAGCCTACAGTATATATAGAAATATAATACTTGGGTAGAGAAATTCCTGAGCAGAGAGAGACTAGAAAGACACTCTGATAAACAAACGCCTTCAAAGCTTATGCTATTTTCCTCAGAGCAAAAAATATTGGGTAACTGTGTGTTCCTAGAAAGAATGGAATTTTGTTGCCAACAGCTGTAGCTTTTCAGAGTACTTATAATACTATATTGAAGATTTATGCTCCTGACAAAGGCTTAAAGCTATCCAAACTAGGGCAGAAAAAAACAATCGTCTTCTAAAAGACCTGTGCTATTTTTGTTAACTCTTACTACAGCAGAAGTTATGACCTTCAAAAACAGACACCCACAACTGGGGTTGATCTTTATAATGATTTGTAAGTCAAGCAGTGACACTGCACCGGGTCAGCTACTCTCAGGTTCCCAAAAAAGCAAGAAGTACATCTAATCATCTTGAAATCGATCAAAGTCGTAAGTGTTTACCTCCAGAGCACATGACTTTAAGTTTTCTTCCTGATTCTTTTGGGCTCACAGTTACATTTTCCCTACCTTAAGAAAGGTTTCCCCAAGGTGCAGCCATCTGACAGAACTGTACAAGATAGGAGAAAAGTTACGCTAGACAAAAGGCTGCCCTCTGCATAAACAAGCAAAGGGATGCAATCTCAGATCTCTTTGTTGGACTTATATAGATATAAGTGGCCCTACCTGCCTGCAGTCAGTCTCCTGATGCCAGCAGAAACTGTTCCTCAAGCTCTGCAGGATGAGGGTCTTCTGTGCTCTCTGAAACTACAGCAGCTAACAGTATCTGGAACTACCACTTTAAAGCTAAATTGATACTAAACAATGAAACTCAGGATGCCACAGCTTTAAAGGCTCATTTTTTTGCAAGCAGCCAAGCAGGACATTCTGGGTTCAATCCCAGGTCAATTTACAGTTACAATCTATGCCGCTCCATGAACATTACACTGAGTTATACAAATTGTGATTGACAAATCCCTTGCCTTGAAAAAATTTGCCCAAAGCTCACGATGAGTCAGTGGAAGTGTCTTGTTTATGTCTCAGACTTTGGCTTCCATCTCGTAGCTGCTCAGTCCACCAGATCGTAACTACAGAGCATCACCAAAAATGTTCTTATTTCTGTCCTTCTAAAATTCCTGTTTAATTTGTTTGTTTGTTTGTTTCTTTTTCTTTGTTTGTTTTGTTTTGCTTTTATAAGGGGAAGAAAATAAATTAAAAGCTTCTTAACAATTACAGTTGTGATTTTTTTTTTTTTAACTGGTAACGAACAAACTATTTCTCAGCTGATCCACAGATAGAAAGCCTGATTTCTTCAAGCAAAATGCACAACAGTCCAAAGCCCTAGATAGAAAAATCACTGTGCGTGTGCCAGAGTTTTCATCTACAGATAAAGTAATAGTGTACCTGCATTAAATTTTAAAAAACCCTGCGTGCAGTTTAGTTTGTAAGAAGTGAAGGACTACAAAATAAAATCTTCCTCCAAGAAACAACCCACCACCAGTCCTTAATCCTGCAAAAGATCTGCAAAAACTGAGGATATTTTGCTTGAGGAACCAGAATTTTAATTGAGCATAAACAAGTGAACAGCAGGCATGCCATTTCCATAAGTATGCATGATTCCAAGGAATAAAGATTTTAAAATCTGAGGCCATGAAACAGATTTCAATTTTAAAAGTCTTACAGTTTTAAAAACATACGATGTGTGTAGGAGGCTCTTTTCACTAGAAGAAGATTCCTTAAATCAAATTGCCAGTGACAAATCATCATTTTTATGAACTGTTTCCAGTAAGGTAGAAGTTATCTAGCGTGGCACTGAAGAACACATTTAATTTTAAGCATGCTTACAGTTTTATTAGAGGCAATGGCTTTTTCCATGCTTAAAGCCAAGCATATGCTCAAGTACTTTGCTGAGACAAAAGCTTACAAGTTTGTTGTTCTGAATGCAAAGTGAGGCTTTTTATCCCAAACCACATTTTCTTGCATGTAATCAGCCCTGATGATGTCACCATAGTTTCCAATTCACTGCAGGACGCGCTCATCATTTATTAGGGTCCAGATGGTGCTCTTTCTTTGGCTACTAAAGAACATGCCCAAATATTAAAGCTTACCCTTTTCTTACACTCTGGATTGCCACAGTACAAAATGACAGTAACCTTTGATCTAATCTGGAAATCTTTTCTTTATACATGAGATTTGGCAATATCAAATACAGTCAACCCACTCGAAACCTAAGAACCTGATATGCATAAATACGTTATGTTAGTCACAATGGGAACAAGCAATCCACAAAACAGTCAAAAGCATAAAAATCAGAGAGCATTTTTCTAGTAAAAAAATATGGGACCTTGCCTGTACTTGATAGCTGCGTGTGTTTTTGAAGAACTTTTAGGATTATTCAATAGCTTAACCAGCAATCAGCAAACAGACACACGCTCTGATTTGTAAGGCAAATAAGGAGCACGAGCATGACAGGATTTGTCATAACAGCACCATCTTTTCCAACACTTTCAACACCACAAGTCTGCACCATGCTGAGAACTCACAGTGTTTTCACCCATTGGCAGCACATGATATTAATCTCCAAAAAGTTCTGAAAGTTATTTACTATTTTCCATAGCTGTGGAGCAAACATAAAGCAGGTCTCCACAGAGACCCAGCAGAAAGATAAGCTGTTGTGACATTTCATTAAAAACGTCCTAAGGTAAGATAATGCCATATTTGTCCAGCAGATCTTGACAAAACGTTCTCCAGCGTGCAGCTAATTCAGGCGCAGGTGCACATGATGTTCAACAGTCCTGAGTCACACATCTTCACAAGCTTAGAGCCTCACGCAAAGCACACTGACACTGGAAAAATCACACATCATAATATGACCAAATCTAAATGGGGGGAGGTTAGGGGAGGGAAGGAAGGAAAGTTAATCCAACTGCTCAGAAAAAGATGTTCCCAAATGAGAACTACTTCACTATTTAACTATTATTACCTACAACTAACTATTTAACAACTAACACATGTTGCAAGAAACTAGGGCAAGGAAATGTATTTTAAGCAGTCTTCCTGACTTCAAAACAGCTTAGTAATTGCATACACGTATTGGTAGAGAAACGGTTTCAGAATAAACATCAAATCCAGAAAACTTGTTTTAGAAGTATGCTTAAATGTCAGAAAAACAGAGGTTCAAGAAGATTACGTAACGTTCACTAAATCAGTTAACTCCTAAACTCTTTTTAAAACTAAGCAGCAGCTAGTAATTTTGGTGGCAATAATCCCAGATATCTGCACTCCAATAAACACGATAGACCACATACTTCTAAATTAGCATATGCTACTAAATTAAAATGATATTAAAATAATTAAGTTACATAAATAAAAATGCTGTCAATCCAGAAATAAAATACCAGACAACATACATAAAACACGTATTAATCAGGTATGGGTAGCGAAGAGGCCACTATTCAGCTAGGGAAAACTACTTTTTGTAGTCCATTCCCTTTGAAGTAATGGAGTGTGGGTCCTTTTCCATCTCCCAGTTCTCCAAAGGCAGCCTCAGTTGAGCTGCTGTCTCCCCATAGCCAGAAACTCAGCCTTGCTCACACCCCAAGCTTGGCAATGCTTCCTGGCATTGGGCTGGCTTCCAGGAAATTCGGGCTGCACCCTATGTTGCTATCGTGCTCTGTATCTACATGATGCATTACTTAAAATTACTGGTATGTTCAACACTTTCAAAACTACAGCTGAGAACAAGCTTCAAAATACCAGCAACAACAATCCTGGCCTTACCTGCAGGATCTTGTACTGTCATTTCCTTACGCTTCACCGTCAACTTGTCCTTAACCCATGGAAACTCCTGTAAGGAATCCAGGAATGCATCAAAAGCCTTGGGTCCTCTAGTAGGAAGAATATCAAGGAGCATCATGGTTTTCCTTTGACTGGTGGTTTGGGATTTTATTTCTTGAACATGACTGTCAGTGAGGATGCCTTCTTGATAGAGATACTGAATAACCAGTCCATCCACCAGTACTTCCGTGCAGAGCTCCAGGCGCAGGGAGCGCAAAAGCTGCTTGTCTCTGGCATCCATTTGGCAACCTAGAACATAAGCAAGGGATTGGGGAAATGCAAGATTAAAACACGAACCATAAACACCCCCAAGTGACATTTGATGCCCAACATTGTTCAGAAAGAATGCCATTCTCAAAATCATCAGCCTAGGAAAACCACTAACGATCTCCACCACCTCCGTTCTGTTCAAATCATACAAGCTAAAACACAGCCATTTCTGGGAAATATTAGACAGGAAGAGAACTTCTGGCATTGTGAAGACCAGTGCTTAGATGGAATGACAACCATGCCAAAGTACCTGGCTCACTAACTGGCCAAGGTCCACCCCCAAAGCTGGGGCATTTGCCAGTCCATGAGAGACTCTACCCCAAAAAAGTTAACCCAGTGTCACACCTAACCTCTGGTCTCAACATCTGAGACATGAGGGCTGCTGTAGTGCCGCCAGCCAGCAAGTGGCCTTGGCAATCCAACACATTCTAATTTGAGCAGGGGTGGAAATGTACCATAAGCATTAGGTTGTCCTCTCCCCCAGCCCATCCTGGATGGCTCTTTTAGGACTTGACTGACCTGGTGATGAGAAATTTTCCTCAAATTTCCATCTTAAATTTATTCACCTTCTATTTATAGGCGTTTTTTCTGCCAATATCGTTCTTTAGCCTAGACAGCTCCTTTCCCTCCCTGGTATTCACCCTTCTAATGTGTTTATAGGAAGCAATTGGGTGCTGCCTGCCAGCTTCCATTTCACTCAACTAACGCTCCAACTAGACAAAAGCTGGAAAAGATGCATTTTATAGCTGTTCTGAGAAAGACGAATCGAGGTCCAGAGAGACCAGGCAACTCATCCAAGATCAAATCAAGAGTCAGTGCCAGAGCTAGGAACTAAATCAAGATGTCTAGTCTAGTCCCTAATGACAAACATATCCCCAGGACCATTAATGGCACTTGCAAAGGAAAATGACTTAGTAATACAATTAAATACTTTCTTGTGATTAAATCATGAAGCCAAAAAACTGTAGCAGGTGTTGAATGTGATTACCAGGAGAATTTCTAGTAATTAAATTAGAAGTTGCTGTTATAACAGCTTGACTGTACAGGAATTATATTTCATTTAGCTCGAAGATACAGAGAGAAACCAAGATTTTTAAGAACTCTGCTCAAGTTTCTCTACTGCCAGAGATGCCTGTTAACTCTCCATTAGAGACATGCCTTTGTGGCCTGATTGTTGACATTCAGGGCAGGTAATCAACAGAACATGCAAGCATACAAATGGTGTTCTGGACAGAATGCAAGAGCCAAAAGGAAGGGACTGGAAAACCCTATCTGCGACACCCTCTGACAAAGCAGCTTTCTGAAAACACTCTCCCTGAGTGCTGAATGCAGCACTACTAGCACCTGCCCAGGAGGTTACCCCGAATCTTGAGGTGCCCACCTTCTGCCTTGGGCCATCTAGGAACTGAGCAGCACCCTCCTGGCACTTGTTTTTTTAACAAGGCAACCCCTGGCACTCGTTTTTTTTTACAAGGCCTGGTTTGATGGGTGCAACCTAAACACAGAACCCCGTCATGGAGTGTGGTGATGGTGAGAGCCAGTAGGCAGACAAACAGTGTCTGGTGTTAGGATGCTCATTAGGGATGGGTGAAACTCAACACTCTGGTCTCTAGACGCTTTTATACATGTGGGAGCAGTCCAAGAGTCAAAAAGCAGATCCCTGCAATTTCTTGCTTCCCAAATTCCCTACTGACCTGTGAGCTCATGACATGCTTGCAGAGCCTAAACCAGGCACCTCTGAGAACCTCGCTCTGAACCCAGGCAGAAAGCTTTTCCTGATGCCACAAAACCCTTCTGCTTCCTCCTGTGCATGGGTATTAGTAGCCCCATGAGCCTCCCCCACACAATGAACAAAGGAAACAGAGGCCTCCAGTCACCATGGATGGAATATGCGCCCTGTTGTCCTCATGACCAAGTTGGTCAGTGCTTCCCACAAACAAACCCTTTCCAAACCATCTGTTTGCACCTTTGTGCAGTGGGAGGTGCTGACTGGATTATGAACATGTAGTGGCAATGCCTGCTGAAGGATGTGCCCAGCCCACAAACTCAAGGGTGAACACGATGGAGGTTTCACAGCCTGTGGGGCCACTCATCACCAAGGTCAGCAGCCCAGCAACTGCCAGGATAATGATATTTAGGGTCTTTTTAAGGGTGAAAGTGTTTCTTTAGGGGTTTTTACCACGTTTGATTAAGGAACCGGGCAGACAGATACGGAGGCGTTATCAGGACTGTGACGCAGGCAAGCACAGTGCCAGAGTTTAATGCAACAGGGAAACATCTTCAATTAATTCTAATTAGTCTGTATCTAGAGGTCCGTGGTGAGCTCTAAAGTAAGCTTTCCTTGTAAGACTGCTGCTGAAAGAAAACGAACAGACATGACTCCACTTCAGCTGCAGGATGGCACAGCTCAGCCCTTCCCAGACACCCCTAAACATACATCTTTCCACCGCAGAGCCAAACTTAGGAACCGCACCTCCACATCCCACGACCCCTGACTCATCCCTACACCCGCAGGCACAGGTTTGGGCTTTTCTGGACCTACGTGACCCGTCCACTACGGCAGACGAACCTCCTGCTCCCCAAACGCAGTTGCCCGGCCCTTTCCGCCACAGGCTGCCGTTTCCCAGCCCCAAACGCTCCGCGCCGGCCGCGACGCCGCGAGCGGCCCCGCGCGCCCTCTGACAGGTCGCGGCCCACTCCGCCCCCGGCCCCGTCCTTCCCCGGCCCTACGCACTCGGGTTTCGCACGCGGCGGAGCGCCGAGCCCGGCGGGCAGCGCGCGGCCCCGTCCTGCCCCGCTCCGTTCCGGGGGCGGCGTCGCGGCGGCCCCTACCGCGGGCCCCGGCCCGCCCCGCGGAAGCCCGGCCCCGGCCCCGCGGCGCGGGGGGCCGCAGCCGAGCGCCCCGCGGCGCCGCCCGGCAACCGGCAGCCGGCTCGGCCGCTCTTCCGCCCCCGGAACCGGAGGAGCGCGGCCCGCGGCGGCGGTTCCCCGGCGGGCCGAGCCCCGGAGCGGGCCGGGAGCGGACGGCGCGGGGCGGGGGAGCCCTCCGCCCGCTGCCCGTACTTACAGAGGGAAACGGGGAACTACACGCGGCGCCCCGGCGGCCGCGGAGCCGGCGCGGGGAGCACCATCTTTGTTGAGGGCTCCGCCGGAAGCCGCCGCCCGGCCGCGGGCCGCCCGGGGGAGCGCCGCCACCGGCCCCGCTGACGGCGAGGGCGGGGGGTGCCGCCATGTCACTTGTGGGCAGCGGGGGCGGCGCGGCGGGGGGCGGGGGCCGCGGGAGCGGCTCTGTCCCGGAACGGGGCGGGGGAGTCGCCGGCGAGGCGAACGAGACCCGCGAGAAGGGGGACGTCGCGACCCGGCTCCGCTCGAACGCGCCGCTCGGCCTCCCCGCTCTCCTCCGAGCGGCCCGCAGCGAAGAGCGTTCGCCCACGGGAGCCCGGCCCCCCCCCTCCCCCGCTCTCGGCCGGTACGCGGAAGCCGCGCACCGCCGTGGGGGCACGGTGCGCGCAGCGCTTCGCCGCGGGGCGGTGTGGGCGCGGAGGGCCGCCTGAGCGCGGGGCGCGCCGCCTCTGAGGGACGCGCGTGGTGGTTGCGCGGCCGGCATCCGCGCGCATAGCGCTGTACGCGGCGGCTTGAAAACAGCGCTTCGGGTCGCTCGGCGTACGTGCGTCGGTGTGGGATAGCGGGCAGATAATAATAAATTCGACGCAAGGGGTTGACATTGCTTTTAGAGAACTGGTAGGTGATGCTGCGTTTCGGTGCGTCCCTTGAACCACGGTAAATGCTTTGTCTCGGGCACACCTCAGACTTCTAGGAACGGGGGCGGGACAGCCTACATGCGCCGTGAGCTTAGCTGCAAACCGCACGGGGAGGCACCGTCAGCCGCTGAGTGGCGAGGAGCCGGCTGCCCTATAGCCGCAGGACGGCTGTCACGTTTCTGTGTCACGGGTCGTTCGCAGTACTGCGGTGCGAAAACGCATCTGTAAGTGATTCAGAGTGGCACCGGGGAGCGGAGGACGCCACGATCAATGTATAAGATCATCCCTCGCGCACAGCCGTGTGACTGCTGAAAGTTTCCTTTCTTAACTTCCTGTAACTCTGCTTGCCAATGTTTGCTTTGCTTTGCTTTGTTTTTCAGTTCTAGTCACCATGGAAGGAACTGTATTGTGTTTAGAACCGGAGGGACCAAACCTGGGGATTTACATTACCACCCCACTGCCGTCCTGGCAGCTGCTTTCAGTGCAAACAATGAGCCCACGTCTCAGCACAGAGAAGGGACACAAACAGTTCGTTAGATAGCTTGCATTCCTTCTGCCAGTTGAAGCAATTGTGATTATTTATTTTATACTGTCCAAGAATATCTTAGAAAGTTAGCAAAACATATGGATGTGCGCAGAGCAGCTCCGGTTCCCTCTCTAATAAATAGCAGCAGCCTCGTTGTCTTTAGCACAGCCAGCACTGGTCACGTCGCTGCTTACAGCCTAAACATGCAGAGAAGGAGAGTGGTGGGAGGAAGGAGATAAGCCTCAGAAGGAAGAGGGGAACGGCGGAGGTCCAGGCTTGATTAAAGGGAAAATCTGGTGTTTCCTGTTCTTTCCACTGGTTTGTAAGCGGTGTTGTAAATTCACCGGTGGAAGCTGAAAGTGCTACGAATTGTTCAGGTCCATCGGCAGCGACACAAACAAAGCAGTGACTGCGCTCCGTGCTCACCCTGCTGCCACAGAGCAGCACAGAGAGAGAAGCCCTCACACTTAGCAGTTCTGCTTGGGTTCAGCTCTGACTGTGGTTCTTCCAGGTCTGATCCAACTTCAACAAAACCGCAGAAGAACAGTTCAGTTCCATCCCAGTTTTAGGGGAAAAAAGCCACCACATGATCCAGTTTGGGGTTGGCTCAGTTCCCTGCTATCTGCTCAGGTCTGAATGCTAACCTTGGTTAAACACATAGATCAAAACAGAATCTCCCGGGCTGTGTAGGTCAGTGCACCATGATCAATCCCACACATCAGCATTTAGGACATTTGACCTAAAACCTTGCTCACTGTGGTTCTGTGGGATGGGGAATCGCTACTGGTCTTCAGGCCATGCTGGGGATTGCTGAGATTGGGGCAGCAAGTCCAACTCTATGGGAACCAAGCTGTGCAGCATCTCTTCTGACAGGGCTGTTCCCTTTTACATGTGTGCTGTTGCAGATGAGGATATCAGATTTTTAGATGTACACATTTTTAAAAATCCTGAATCTTTTTAGAAACTCTACAAGTATAGTAAGTCCATCAAAAACTATATATATCTTTTGAGAGGATCCTCTCTGCTCATTAGAGCTGAGTTCCATCCTAGCATGGATGTATTTTCTTTGTTTTCTACATACTAATTTGTTTCTGCTGATAACGAGAGCCAAACTGTGTTTTTAAAACTCGTGCAACCAGATTTAATCTATTAGGACTATGCTGTTTTCAATTGTCTTTAGGACAGCATTCCAACTTTAGGGACAAAAGAAAAGAAATATGAGCCTCAATATTTGTTTATTAAAAACACATCTAATTGGTTAAATCTCTCACAAAACCTCCGAAATGAAGATGGAAAAAAAGAAACATATATTATAGGCTGCCTGTCATTTTTAGACAGACGAGCGCAGAAAACATTTCTGTTAAAATAGGAGGCAGGGCGGCCCAAATGCTGTGGCCTCAGGAGCAGACGAGGGTCCTGCGAATGATGCCTTCCTTCTCACACTCTTCCTCAGCCCCCCTTTGCTGTGCTGCCCTCGGCAAGCCTGGCTCTCATTCACTCCAACACCTGGTGCTGCTGCAAAGGCAGGATGGTGCCAGAGAGGTTCTGAGGGCAGTGGGCAGCCCCAACAGCGCTATTCTCTCCAGCCGTGGGGAGATTGTACCTGGTGGGGTGGGAGGGGACCAGCCCCCAGCCTGCACATTGGGTTATCCTGCTGCTTCCTGAGCCCCCCCCTCTCCCCACTTTAATGATAAGGGGTTGGAGTTAAGTGCACTTCAAAGAGAGCAAAGGGTATAAAACGTAGGTGACACGTCATCAACGTTTGTAGAAGTGTTGTTTTATTTAAAGGCATGGCTAGCATGTAGGTAAAGCACTGTCTCAAAGCATTAAAGCTCTGGGGTTTGCAGTGACCCCCCAGCATCCGTGCTTTTACATTTGTTTCAGTAATAAAAATAAGTAAATAAATATTAGCGGTGCTGCGAGGAATTGGTTCTTAGTGCTGTTTACTTTGGTGCTAATGATCTCAGCCAAAACTCAGACGTAGAACAGTCCTAAGAAAAGGAGCAGGCATCGAATGTGAAACTGGCACGTTCATTCCAGAGAAAAAGAATCTCTGCAGCGAATTGTAATAAAAAACCTGCAATGCATATTTGCAAAAATGTGACTCAATATTTCTCCTATGAGGAATTTGTAGTCCATTTTCCTTAAGCATATGAATTAATGCTTTCCTCTGTTTTGAAGTTCAATTTAAAGATGCTTTTGGGAAAGAGATGAAATACTGAAAGCCTTGAAATATTCCTGACTTTTGAAACTTTTTTTTTTTCCTAAGGCAAAGCAACCGTTTTACTAACAGGAAAGTAAAGAAGTATCACAAATTAGCCTGAAAATTGAATACTTAGAAATAAGGAAAAAGAATTTCAGATTCAGGTCTAAAACCCTGTCCCAGAACAAACTGCTTTTATCTGCAAGTTCCAGAGTAGGAACTGCCTGCCTAGCACTCCATACAGAGCGCAGGATTTATTTGGGAGGAGAATAACCACTGATTTTTGTCATCTTCAGTTCCTTTCTCGGGCTTTGAGCTGCACAAACTCACATACAGTGCATCTCTTTTTAAAGGCTCTTGCTTTCAGGTTAAGTTTTTCAGGAGCTGGTAATGATTCATGGAAAGTTTTTTGCAGGTAGCCTAGCTGGAGCTGTGCTTATACTTCTTCCATATGTCCTGTTCTCTAATAAAAAATACCCTTCAATTCACAGTCCTCAGGCTCGATTTTGTTCTCTTGCAAAATGAAACCTGTGTGGTTCATGGCTGCAGGGCGCCGGCTCAGCAGCCTCGAGTGGGCACTGCATCTGCCAACAAGGGACTCAGAGGAAACTGATGATTTCCAGAAGCTGCTATCTCCTCGCAGTGCTTCTGTGTGTAGCACTCAGCTCACAGAGGAGCTGCGATGCCCTGGCACTGCAATGGAGGCAGACAAGCAGCGCCCTTTCCCTACTTATTTTCTGCTCTCTGCAGAGCAAAGCAGCTGCTCGAGCAGATCACCATTGTTGTAGAGTAAATGCTAATTGAAAAATAAACAATTTTTCACCCACACTGAAAAACTACAAAACATGAAGTCGATCTTCTGCCCTACAGATATGGAAACTGCAGCTCGTAAGGGCTCAGTCACATTTAATATTGCTTTTCTGAAAAGAAAATGTGGCAGCAAAAAGTTCCACGAACAACCACAGCTGAGCCACAGCTTCCTCTGCCTTGTGTCAGTGAGCAGCACGGTAGGTAAGAGAACAGCAGCTGCCAGACGTGTCATGGAGGTGTCTGGAGGAACCCCTCTGGTTGGGACATTCCCACTGAGACAGGCTGGGTGTGGGGACAGAGGCTGAGCTGAACGGGTCCTGTTTTGGGACCGCAGCCTAAAGAGGCACAATTAAATTTTAACAAAGCATTT